GCGTGCCTTCCAGGGCCGGGGAGGTGACCACCCTGCTGCCCTCTGCCTACATCAGACCGCCCCTGGGGTGTCGTGTTCTGTTCTGGGTACCATGTTTTGACTAGAGTGGAGAAGGCCTTGAGCGCAGGCTCGTCCACTGGAGGGTTGTCCGAAGCACTCAGGATACCTCTGGGGGACACACTATCTATGCTCAAGCATTGGAAGGGCTGACCTGTGGAAGAGGATCAATTCCGTTTCCCTCGTCCCGGAGGGTGGAACCAGGAAGAGTCGGGGGACGTCACCGAGGAAAGCTTTTAGACTGGATGTTGGAAAACCTCCTACCAGCCTGAGCTGCCCAGGGCATCTCAGAGGCACCTGGCCCATCCTCCGCCTGACCAAGACTTTCCTCCACAGTGACCCAAACCTGGCCGCAGGGCTCCAGTTTCAGCTGAAAAATAGGACTTCTTTGGGCCAATAGGAATTCCCCCCCCACCCCGTCCCAAAGCAGGGGGGCTTAGGGATGCTCAGCCCACGGCTCTCGCAGCCCAGGTCCACGGGGTGGGGCAGGGACCCATCTTCCCTGTCACAGGGAAGCTCTTGGCCCCTTCCCCCACTTTGTTCACCTTTCCCCAGTTCTGGGGGCAGAGGCCCCTGAGCAGCAATAAATATTTCCAGCCTATTCACTTTTCAACTCCCTGACTCTGAAGGAATTTTAACAGGTAACATCTGGACCGGTGAAAGTCCAGGAAGAACAGCTGTCTCCAGCTTTGATTTCTCTGTAGCCCAGAAGGCTCCCCACTTTCGTTTGGGGTGACCTTTGGCGTCGGAGTTCCCAGGGACTTTCTTTCTCCTGAGATAGCCCTCCCACATTCCTTCCCCCTGTTTCCTTTGGCCCTTGGAGTCACACATTTCCTCCTGCTCTCAGAACGGGAAGAAGGCCCAGGAGTGGACCCCCCAGAAGTCCACATCTCTGGGTTTGGGTCTCACAATCTGAAGAAAGCCCAAACCACCCTGAGGAGAAGCTTTCGAAGGCTACCCATTTCTGTCCTGTCTTTGGCCCTGTGGTCCATGACTACCTTGGAGGGCACTGATTGGCAGCAACTTGAGGGAGGGGCTGTGTTGCTTTTCAGCTGTTGTAGATAGAACAGGGGGGATTCCTGGCTAGTTGGTGGTTCCAGTGTGAAAAGAGCTGCTGTTCTAGCCTTCAGACAGCAGTCAGAAAGAGGTAGAGGGCACAGAGGGAGGGAGGGAGGGAATCACAGAGATTTAGCTAGGAATTTCTGAGCCGGGGGCAAATCTAATGGGGGGGGGGGGGGGGTTGTGAAGTCACACAGAGTTTGAACCTGGGTGCAGAAACACCAGGAAGGAGGCTGGTTCTGCTGAATGGAGGGAGGCACAAGCCAGTGAGGACCAAAACACAGTTCAGATGGGAAGGAAATCTGCCCTACCCCCAGATGTTGGCACCCTGGGGCAAAGGCCTGACTGACTTGCCCTAGTTATGGCTCTGGGACAGGGTG